AATTATGAATTAAAAGTCTTTAAATAAAATTTTTGAAAAAATTGATTTTACTATTTTAGTATAATAATTTATAAATGCCTTACCAAACTGATATCGTGGCAGCCCAAAATTCTAAAAAAAAATAATTAGTATTCTCTAAACGTCCTTACCGATATCGCGGCAGCCTGAAATTCTAAAAAAAAATAATTAGTAATTTCTAAACGTCTTTACCGAACTGATACCACGGCAGCCTAAAATTCTAGAAAAAATAATTAGTAATCTCTAAACGTCCTTACTGAACTGATACTACAGCAGTCTAAAATTTTAAAAAAAAAATAATTAGTCATCTAAAGAAAGAATAAATTAATTATTTAACAGATTGATCTGAAGTTATATAAGCAAGTCTTACTTTTTAAAGATGAACAAACTGGTTTATCTTAAATCAATCGATTAATCAATTGATTTATTTTCTTTTTTTTTTCTCCTTTCTTCTTTCCTTTCATTGATCATTTTTTTTTATATTTCAACTCTGTAACCTCCAGTTGAATCTAATTTTGTAATTGACCGCAGTATATCATTTGACATTCCGGACTGAAGACAGTTTTGCCAAAATTCTTCACAGAAATGAAGAGTACCTCAGCAATTAATCCAGTTAAGATATGTTTTCCCATTAGATTTTTTTCGTTTATTTTATTATTTTTTTTTTATTTTTTCAAGTTTTATTTTATTTTATTAATTTTTTTTTTATTTATTTTATAATTTATATTAATTTTTTTCTTTTATTCTATTTATTTTTTTTTTTATTTTAATTTTTTTTTTATTTTATTTTATATTTTTTAGAAAAACTTACCGATAAGTGAATTTAATTCCTCCTTGGTTAGGGTGGGCTTCTTTGAGAATGTTACTAACGTTCTTTTCCTTCTCTTTTTTAGAACTGGTCTTCTTTGGATCATGGGAATTACCGGTAAGTGAGTTTTTTTCTTCTTGGATTGGATGGGCTTCTTTAAAAACATTACTAATGTTCTTTTTCCTTCTTTTTTTTAGGACTGGCCTTCTTTAGACCTTAGAAATCAATCGGTAAGTTGAATTTCTTCTTAGAATAATAAGCTTCTTTTGAGAATTACTAACGTCCAATTCTAAAAAAAAATAATTAGTAATCTCTAAATGCCTTTACTAAACTGATATCATGGTAGTCTGAAATTCTAAAAAAAAAATAATTAGTAATCTAAACGCTCTTACCAATATCATGGCAGTCTGTAAAAAAAAGAAATATATAGATTAATTAATTAAATGCCTAGCCAAATAAATTTAAGTCTAAATTTAACAGATTGATCTAATGTTATGTAAGCAAGTCTTACTTTTGATTTTTTGTATAGATTGATTAATATGATTAACATGCATGATTAACATAAATATCAAGTCTTACCTCTGATTAACATAATTAGTGTATGTAGATATCAATCAAATTTTTTTACTAAAATAAGTTAAATTTTTAGTGAAAAACTATTTAAAATTCTTTATTTTTGCTTTTTTTTTAAATAAATAATTTTGTATTATTTTTTTTTATGATTTTTAATTTAATAAAATAATATATAAAAGTCAAAATCATTTGAAACTCTAGTTATTATTTCATTATCATTATCTTTAAATATTATCTTATCTTACAATCTTATATTGTTTTGCATATTATAGCTAGTTGGAAATACTCAAAACAACGATTATAACAAAATCCATTTGTTACTAAAGTTGTACGTGCTAAAAAGGTAATTTGCATATGTAGAGCTGCAATAAAACTTAACAGGAAATATGATGAGGATTATATTAACCAGTATGCAAATGGCTCAGGATGCAACTGAAAAAAACAACAAAATATTTTATGTTTTTTTAATTCAATAACGACTAATAAAGAAGCTGATAATGAGGATAATATAAATTCAGATGATGATTGGAATGATTGGGAAAGTGAAGTAGAAGATACAATAGATAATAATGATATTATTACAGTAGACAAAAATAATGAAGAAATTAATGGAGAAGGAATTAATATAGAGATTATTAGTCCAAAAACTAATCAAACAGGTAGAAAAAGAAAGCCATGTTTAGGATTACGTTCAAATTTGATTGCAAAATATGTTAATAGAACACTAGTAAGTTATAGTGAAACTCATTGTGTTGAAGTAATTGCTAAAGAAATGTATCCTAAAAAATTTCCTTACAAATTTACAAGAAAAAGACTTAAACCATTTCAAAAACGTGCATTAAATCAGAAAATTTATGCAGAATCTCAATGGCATATTGATAAAGATTGTAAGTATTTACAGTATATTTAATATATTTTTTTATCTTTAATGATCATTAATGAAAATCTTTTTCAAATATTATTAACAGGTGTTGCTATACATGCTAAAGAATGCATGAGATATTCTGAATTGGGAAAAACAATTTGTGATGAATACTTAACATTAAAATATAATCCTATATTAAATCATCATTTTACTATACCAAAACCTGCACCTGAAAATCTTAAATTTACATCAAAATATTATTTTGAAAATAATACTTTAAAAAAACATTTGCAAAATCAGGATCTTTGTGAAATTTTGTCTGTTATTAAAGATGATTATGATACAAATATATGGATTACATTAGCAGATAAAGCAAATAATAGCGTATTTAAAGAAAACCCTGTATTTACAGGACTTTGTGAAGTAATAGTTCAAGCTGCAATCCATAAAGATAATAATAAAGGCAAACAAAATATTCAATATAATGAAGATTTTACAAATTTTCTTATTATATTGAGAAGTTTTAATACTTAAGCTCTTGATCTTTTTCGTCAAAATTTGGAAGGACACACAATTCAAAATATACAGTATTTTATTTATTTTACATATTTATTTATTAATTAATTAATTTTATCTGTTAAATTTTTTAAAAAATATCTTTATTATAAAAAATAATAGTAAACTCCAAACTAACAATAAAGATATACTTACAAATCCTACTCTTATATTTGAGAATGTTACCAAATTTAAAAGGTTAATTGATACATTAAATTATCAGGGACTAATTGTTACTATGTTAGATAATATCAAGTTAAAGCCTGCTCTTCATTATAATCCTATTTTAGGCTGTATCATCAGATCAACACTACCAATTGAACAAACTAAAATTAATACATATGAAGATATTCAGCCAATCATTAATGATATTAAAACAAAAAAAGCAATTTCAAAAGATGTTTATGCTTATATATTGCAGGTAATTTATTTGTCCAAATAACTAAATCTTTTAATTATATCAATAATGATTTACTATTCTATTTTACCAATTATTAGATACCATTACCAAATTTTTCTCCAGTAATTATTACATTAATTGCAAATGATGGATCTGATAATGCATCAACTATAATCAGCTATCATCAAGAATTATTAACTCAAATAGCATCACAGCTTAACCTTCTGATACTATCAATTAGATCAGATGGCGCTATAGTTGAATTCAAAGTCTAAGTTGTAATTCAATTATATTTAACAAATGAGCAGGTAACTTTTCAAAATAAAAAACTTGGTGTTGATTTTAGCTGTTCAGTTTTTTCAAATGTAGGACCTGTTATCCATATACAAGATCCTAAATATGCCAAAAAACAGTCAGAATGCAATTATGTTTGGTGCACACCTTCTTACTTTAAGAAATTCAACAGTACAATTTGAACAATTATTAAAATTATCAAATCTTTTTAATTCTATAATATATCATCATGATGTAGTAAAACTTGATCATCAAGATGATAGTGCAGCATATCATGTATTTTGTTTAATAAATCTACAAAATTGTCATAATATTGAAGATTCACAATGACTTTTTGTATATCTTTTCATTATAGGTAAGATAAAAAACCAATTTTGATTATAAATGATAAACTTTTTCATTATTTAATATATTTTTTCATTTAGGTAAACTTATTGATAGCTATTTAAATTGTGAAATAACTCTATTAGAAAGAATTAAAATGTCAATGATATCTTTTTTCTTTTTACAAATTTGGAAAGAATATATAACAAATGTAAGCGAAAAGTATCCTGACTTTGTTTTTATAAGCAAGAATTTTTTAGCAGATCAAAGCTATGCAATTTTTATTTTTCTTACAGAGTCTATGGTTTTATTGGTAAAAGTACATTGGAAATATTACCCAAATTATCTATTTTTGCCATGAATGTATGGATCAGAAGCTTGTGAATATTTTTTTGGTATAGCGCGTCAAATTAATTCAGATTTTAATTATTCAGAGTTATTATAACTAGTTCCAAAAATTTCTCAATGTGCTAAAATATTAAGAATAAAAAATATTATATTAGAAAAAGAAAAATCTGTGCGTGAAGATAAGCAGACAATAATAATTATGAAAATATTTTATATTGAATTTTTTATCTAATTTTAATTTTTTTAAATAGGATATCATTTCGATTATAATATAGGAAATATTAATTCAACAAAATTAATGACATTATGTAATTGGCCATCAGATACTGATATTACTTCAATAATTAAATATTTACACAAATTGGTATTGGATCTTGCCAAAGCACTTGATATAAATTCTACTTCAAATGCAAATCAATTATTATTATAGCCGTTTATAATAATAGAAGAGCTAAATTTGGAAGTTTCAACTGAAGTCAAATTAAGTTCAGAACTTGAAAGTAATTCAGACGAATTTTTTGAAATTGATAGAGAAATTTCTGATGTAATTCATCAAGCCTCCAAGCATACTACCAACACAATTGATAATATTTTTAATTTTTCAAACATTGAGAATAAAAATATTGACAAAAAACTTTCATAATGCATATGAGCGACCTATTCATGGTATAATTATTATATTTCAAAGAATTTTAACAATATATTATTATTAAATATTAACAAAATTGATAATTTAAAAAAAGATTTTTCTATTAGATATCTTCTTTTAATAGGAGAATTAGATTATTTAACTATGATTGCATTGCGAAGTCATCATAAAGCATATAATTCAAGACCAGTTAAGAGAAAAAATCATGCATATATGATCAGTTACGAAAAAACAAATACTATTAATCCAAATAAGACTAGTCATATAATTTCACATCTTACTAATAATGATAATCCTGAAATACAATTCATAAAATAACGTAAGAAACGATGAAAGGACAGTTAGAAAACAATGACAGCTAATCTTGCTAATTTACAATAATATGAATTATCAAAGCAGAGACAAGCTAATAAAGTTACAAGTAAAAGTAATATAAATTTAATATATTATAAATATATAATTTATATAATTTATTAATTATTTATTATATATTGCAATTATGTGTATTGAATCAGTAAATATTACTCAAGATTTTCCATTACAACAAGATGACTATGTAATTGTGCTATATAGAATAAAAATCTGTATTGCCAAAGTAATTGTAATATATTATAAAGGTTATGGTAATCATTGTTACAGTCAAAATACCATTACTCAAATTGAAGATTTATCCTATATTTCATTGCAAGTATATTTACCGATTTATCTCAATATTTTTGCAAGTCAAACTGTGAAAGGTTATACATTATTTACTCATCATTGTCCTAAAAATATTATATATTATATTAAATCAAATGGGTTAATAATTAGTGATAGTTCGTTAATTTTAACAGGAGTAACACAAAATATTTTTAATTATTTTAATCGTGATACTATTAAAAATAGTATTATTAATATGATATAATAATTAAAAATTAATAAATAAAGTAATATCACCACATCATGTGATTTTATACATTACATAAATTATTTACATAAATAAAATTTTGTAAAAAAAATAATAAAAAAAATTTTTATAATCATTAATAAACAAACTATTTATTGCAATATATAATAATGTGTTATTTGAATTCAAGGTAAAATAGTAAATATAGAGATGGAATGATAGTGAAATTATAGTGAAATCATAGGCGAAATGATGATGAAAAGGTGGCAAAATGATAGTGAAATAATAGTGAAGGTGATGGTGAAAGGTGGCGAAATTATTGGTGAAAGATGGCGAAATAATGGTAAAATTATAGGCGAAATTATGGTGAAAATATAGAGAAATGATAGTGGTGAAATGATGGTGAAATAATGGAGAAATGATGGTGAAATGATGGTGAAATGATGGTGAAATGATGGCAAAATGATGGCAAAATGATGGTGAAATGATGGAAAAATGATGGAGAAATAATATGAAATCTTTTTATAATTAATAATAGTCACAAAATCAATTGCTTAACAGTGTAAAAAATTTTAAAGTCATAATAAGAGTTTGCTTAGTAGGATTGAAAATAATTTGCTTATTGATCTTAGTAAATTTTGAAATTTTCATCTGACCTATATATATTGTTTAGGGTCCTGTCTAGTAGAAATTACTAATATATTTTCTGCTAAAATTAATAAGCCAGTCTTTACAAAAACAATTTGTTATTCACTTTACAAGGAAAATGTGCATTCCTGTATTCCTCGAAAGAAGCCTCTTATCTCAGCAATTAACAAATACAAACAACTTGCATGGGCAATAGAAAGAAGACATTGAACTGTAGAAGACTAGAAAAAGATAGTCTAGACAGAGGAGTCTACATTTTCACAGTTTCAAAAAACTGGATGGGGAAGAGTGTGGAGAAAGCTAGAAGAAAAATTTAATGAAGATTGCATTGCATCAACAGTAAAACATTCTCCTCAAAGAATGTTTTGGGCATGTTTTTCCTTTTTAAAATTAGGTCCCATTATTCCACTTGAAGGTTCAGTAACTGGAAATGTATGTAAAGAGGTGCTTTCCACTTATGCAGTTTCCAGACTCAAAGCATTTTTCTGGAAAACCAAAAAAACATTTATTTTTCAGGAAGACAATATACTAATTCACACATCGAAGGTTGCACAAGAGTTTCTGCATTCTTAAAATGTAGAGGTGCTTCCATGGCCTGCTTAAAGTCCTGATTTCAACCCAATTGAGAACCTGTGGGCTGAAGTTGAGGTGAAAATTCGAAAACACAACCCTCAGCCATCAAGCATTCGTGAACTTGAAAAGGTGGTACAAGAGATTTGGGAAGCGATACTACAAAAAGTTTATCATGACTTAGTGCGATCAATGCCAAATAGAATTCAGGTGGTGATTGATGCTAAAGGAAGACATACTAAATATTGATGTATTATTTGTAAATATAAAAAAAAACTGACTGCTATTCTAATAAAAAAAAAATATATTGCTAAAATAAAACCATGCAATATTTTTGTCCCCCTCGGTAATTCATTTACTGAAAGTTATTATCACTGTGACAGAATTTTTGGGAATAAAAAATCAACCTACTTTACCTATTAACATTATTCATGTTTTTGCTTAAGCAAATAACAACAATAACAAAAAAAAGCAACTCAATTTTTTACTAATTTACAAACAAGACTACAATAAAACTCTTCAGCGCTTTGAAGACATTTTACGTTTACTTGACAGTTTAATCGTGAAAGAGTTGGTAAAAGTTCGTATTGATCTAAAAAAAGTAAATACAAGTGCGAGTTCTACACAATTGTCCTGTAAAGTAATAGTAGAAAGAATTACCGAAAACACCATAGAAATAGCTCAAAATCTGTGTTGGAGTTTTTTATTAAAATAGGTTACAAAAAATTTATATTGTATTACAAAAAATATATATATATATTTTTTATAATTATGTAATCCTACTCTGGTCCGGATTTACAAGATAGCCTTAAATTTTTCCGAAAAATATGTATTCAGATTCTGAAATTTTGTGCTATCTTGATCATAATAAAAATCACGTGACTACACGCTCTCCTTAATGATTATTACTAGGGTTGTAAAATTACTACACGCTCCCCTTAATGATTATTACCAGGGTTGTAAAATTACCGTAAGATTCAGGATGTCTGTGTAAGTTATGTAAGTTACATAAGTTACGATAAATTACCGGTTACACGTTCCAAATTTAGAAATCTCATAGTTTATTTAAAAAAAAATATTTTTTTCACGGTTTTCTTCAA